AGATTTTTTTTAATTGAACCAAGTTATTGAGTGATTTTAATTATGATAGCAAATAAAGAAAATAAATAAAAAATGAGTTTACCATTGCTGATTAGCTACCAGTAAAGTTTATTGGTACTTACAGATAGATGTATACCAAATCCTTTTCCAGGGCATATTCTGATTCTTATTAAAAATGCACATAATCCTATATGATTCTGACAGCATTGATTTGATTATCTGTAGTTTTAAGGCTGAATTAATGGCAATGCAAATAAGACTTTGGGACAAAGGTTTTGATAATTAATAATTGTACTAAGTTCATAAATAGGCTTTAAATATTTAATGGACTAAACCAATGCCATAATACTCTTCAAAATTAATTTTGTATGCTTATACTCTTGAAGCTATGACTAAATATTAAAAACTATGCACATACAGACTTTAATTTTATATACTGGAAATTGTCTCTTACATGAGAAGAAATATTCAAATCTAGCACAAAGACCTTACAAATGCTTCCATTAAAAACAAAATAAAATCAAACCTTTTTTTATTAAATAATTGCATATATGACTTGTCGGAAGTGGTTGGTGTGAAAATTATAACAATAAGGAAAAGATTATATTTCTAAAGTTCTGAGATGAAGTATTTTCATTATTTCATATATGATTCAAGCTGATATCTCATTTTTTGTTTTTAAATACATTTTGACCAATATATCTTTGGCCTTCCTCAGGTGGAGTTGTATCTGATCTTTAGAACTCACTTTTTTTCTTTTAAATCGTTTCACCCCAAGCAAGGCAATAAAGCCACTAGAATGCAAGAAGCTACTGGGTGTCAGATAATATGAGAAAAACTACTATTAAGGAGAGATGACAATATTAGAACAAGAATTAAGAAGAGAGAAGATAATGATTGACATTGCATTTAATTTTTTGAAGATCAAAGAGTTCCACAAGTGAGAAGTGCAATAGAAGAAACTGTTAGCATATAACTTATGGCTACATCTAGCCATTTCAAATGTAAAATGATGGTGGCCTTGCTGCCAATCTAGTACTGCATTTAAATTCATAAAGTTTAGGCACCATAGTGGAAAGTTCATCAGAATAATTACCATGAAAGTATTTATAGAAAAGGCACAGAGCAGCTACATTACAGCAGTAGGAAAGAGACTGAAGCTGAGATGCCAGGTCAGGATCAATAACATTGCCGATTCTTCTTTGAATGTTATCATAAATCTCAAAATATTTAGCAGGAACACCAGACCAGATGTAGCAGCAATATTCAAATAAAGAATGAACGGTAGACATATAAATATGTAAGATAGATTCTGGTGAAAAAAATTGTCTAGCACAACATATTGAACCAACTTTCTTAGCTGCAGACTTAGTAATTGATTCAATATACTCTTTCCACTTTGTGTCAGCTGAAAACGTTAGTCTGAGAAAGCGCAAGGAATCATTTTCTTGGAGGTTAGCATCAGCCACGCTAATGGAAGTTTAAAAAGGATTCTCTCACATGATTAAAAAAGAGCAGTTTCGTTTTTGAGGCATTAAAATTAACAAGCCATGCTATGTCCCATTTAACAACAGATTGTAGGTCATTTTTGAGATCAACTGGAAATCTGACCTCATCAAACCAATCAAACTTGCTATTAAGACAGGAGTAAATAGTTGTGACATCATCATAGATACCATGTTGAAAATTGATGACATCAGGAAGGTCATTTATGAAAATTAGAAATAATGTAGGCCCAAGGATAGAGCCCTGGGGAACACCTGCATTTATGCAAAAAAATCTAGAAGAGTAAAATTGGCCATTCAAGACAACATTCCTTTCACAATTGGATAAGAAAGACTCAATCAGCTCAAAAATTTGTCCAGAAATACCATAACCTTTCAACTGGTGAACAAGACCAGTATACCAAACATTGTCAAATGCCTTTGAAATATCCAAAGCAACTGCCCGAGCATCACCATTTTTATCTAAAGCTTGATTGACTCTTTCAGCAATAATTGTTAACACATCAGCAGTTAACCTAACAAAGCAAAAGCTATATTTTTTATCTGAAAAAAGACTCTGAAATGTAAGATGCTTAACCAATTCAGAGTTAATTAGAGCCTCTAGTACTTTGTCAAAAAGAGGTAGCAGGATAAGAGGCCAATAGTTAGAAGGATCAGATGGTTCTCCTATGTTCTTAAAGACTTGTGAATAGAAGAGGATTCCCAACAAGTAGGAAAGCAAGTAGTAACAAGACATTTATTGTAGAGTTTAGAGAGAACAGGAAACAATTCAGGGGCACATTTCTTAAGGACTATTGCAGGGATACCATCAAGTCCACATGCTTTGTGAGGATCTAATTTGGAAATGATAGCAAAAACTATGGATGGAGTTATATGTATACCATTCAATAGAGATTCAGTTCTAAGTGGAAAGTCAGGTGAAGATACTCCAGATGAGTCAAGAAAATTTATGAGCAAAACATTGTTTTATCAGTAGAAGATGCTGACACCTTAAATTCAGTGAAGAATACTCTTATTTAACACACTATTACAGAGCCTCCAGTAGTCATGTGAACCAAACTTGTTAGAAGTTATACAGTGCCTCATTCTATTGGTAAACAAAGCCTCTTTGAGGACAGGTTACAATTACTTTGAGCAATTACAAATAGGCACCTGTTGTGATTGGAATTATCATGCTGGTAGGCCCGAAAAAATGATTCCTATGGGTTATAGCAGGTGAACAGGCTGATGTGAACCAAGGAGAAGATTGTGGTGTCACCTGATATTTGCAAGAAGGTACAAAAGCATCAATGACAGCTTTAACCCAAGAAGAAACATCGGTGGCACATTTCTCAGTAGGAAGGTTAAGAATATCAATCTAAGGGGCATCTCAAATAAAGTCATGGAATGAATCCCAATCAGTACATTGGTAACAGAAAGAAGTCTTGTGAATAGGAGGTTTCTTTCTAACAGATGATTCAAAAGAAATATCAATAGATATTACAGTATGAGCTGAATTGCCAAGAGGACAGAGTTGTGAAGCTCTACAAGAGCTAGGAGAGAAGGTAAGAAACAAATCCAGTAAAGAATGTTGAACAGATTTAGTAGGGAAATTCACTATTTGACAGACTGAGCAATGGAAAAATTGAAAGTGTGAATACCGGCAACATCAGTAACATTAGAATGCTTAAACCACTTGATGTGTTGAGCATTAAAATCACCAAACACAAAAATATTTGCAGATGGATGTAGAGAAACTTGCTGAAATATTGTGTTTAAAAAACGAGAAATATGAAGACAATCATTCAAAAAATACATGAAAGTAAAAAACATGTAAACAAAAAATTGTAACAAAAATCAAAACAAATGCACATTAAGTCAAAAATGTTTGCATTTGTTCAAACTTTCAGCCATTACTCAAGAATCAACACTGTTTCATTTTAGATAAATTTTAAAAACAGATTTTTTGTAAGTGACTGAAAGGTTAAATGCATGAGTTATAAATTGATGTCAGTTAATGTAGATACATTTCTCAAAGTTCATTGGAATGAAAAGGCCAATTTGGAAAACATAACTACTGTTATAATTATTAATATGAATAGCAATTACAGTTATTGAAGAACAGTAAAATGCTACAATTAAACCAGAAAATCAGTATCCTATTTCAACTATATATAAATTATTAAATTGGATTTAGTCCTACTCAAAAAGACAAATATTCCTTTATGCAGAGCCAAGTAGAAGCTGTACATGATAATTTTACAAGTTAATGCAAATTTCATGTTCTTTCAGAATTAGGAATTTTGTACTACTCTGTTAATAAATTTCATTTATTCCCCAAAGCATTAAATGAAGTTGATGTTTAGCAAAATTTAATACCATTTTGTAGGCTTCCAACATGCCAGTCTAAAACAAAAGACTCTTTTTAGCTCTGGACATGAATAAAAATATCTTTCCTTTCAATCTGCATCACTTAAGATTTTTCCAAGTCAGTATTTTCTCTTCTAAATTTTATTGAGATAACTTCAATGTGGTATCTCTGAATTTTAAGCATGACTTAATTTTATAATAATAAAACTGTTTTTAGAAATATATCTAACAATGAAAATTTTGATAAGAGAAGGGTTAATTTTTAAATTTTATTTTTTAATTTTGGCAAATTGCTAGTCACAAAATTCTTTTAAGGACAGCTAAGGTAGTCAAAAAGCATTGGAATAAGTGGGAGGGAGAAAATTAAGACAAATATGATATCCAAAAATTGAAGGGTTTGATTATCATAATGACTAACATTCTATACATAGCCAACAATGCAATTGTTTCATAAGAATAGGTTACATCAGATTTTTGTAAAAATAGCAATATTGCAATAACATACAAAATACATTGCTTCAATTCAGCTAACAATTTGATCACTCTACCAACCAAAAATAATTTGATCTACTATATCTACCAAGTTATTAACATTCTTCTTATGGTAAATTATAATGCAATATTTTATCATCTTTACTGGTGAGCTAAAGAGCACTTTTTACAGACTTAGTCCAAGATAACATTGATTACTCTGGAAAGTGAATATCACACTTCACTGAGTTTTATTTTAAGGCTCTTTGGCCATATCACTCTCACAAATACAATAAAAATGCAAATAAAGTTCACAAAAATGAATCTAATGTAAAGCTTAAACAAGAAAAAGCATTATCACAACTGATTAGAATAACGTTTTTCTCTTTCAGACAACAAAGATTTTTATTGAAAAAAAAAAAAAAATTTTTCATAAAAAAATATGTTTAAAACTAAGTTTTAAAAATATTTACAGGTACATCTAAATTATCTTTACATACAAACAATAAAAATAACTTTTTCTAGAAAGAATTTTACAAGCAAATTAAATTTTATATACTTTAAATGGAATTTTTTTCCTGCTTAACCACATGAGCAGACATTTATAGTTTGACAAAATTTTTTACAGATTATAAAAAAAGAAAAAGAAAAAGAAGAAAACAAAGCACTTCTTACCATGGCTTGGGTGTTATCTTCTGAATGGTCCTCATCAGAACTGTCATCAGATATTTCAGAGCAGCTGTCTGTTCCTAATGGTTGCCAACCAGGAAGACTAAGTGATGCACCTTTTTTGTTGCCATCTTTTAACATATTCTCTAGACCATGAGTTTGACTCAAATTCTGAATATTAGGAAATGAAAGATATATTTGATACATTGTGCCTGCAATTTATCGTTCAATCAATTTTTTTTTCTTTTTTAAGATCAAAAATTTCTTTATAAAGAAAAAAGAGTAACAATTTCTTATGGAATTACATTTAATATTTTTTTCAATATCTTTTTTTTCAGTATTAGGTGTTGGCTTAAAGATTTGACATGAACTATTATTAAATTAGGAATTCCAATTAGCCTAGGTTTAAAATTAGAAACCTTGATTTATTTATGCTGTACATACATCTCCTTCCAAGGAAAAAACTTTACAAAACTATTTCAATAACACTATATTTAATATATTTCTAATTTCAAATGACTTCAATGTAATTCTCATTTTAAAGTAAACTTTCATAATAAAATACTTCCATCATTTAAAACAGAAACTTGTAAATAAGAACAAAACAAAATATTCAGCTTGTTTCATGACTATAGTAGGTTTTCATTTATTCTGCCTATTGGTCTCAGAAATGGCTCAGCAAATTAAGTTCCTCTATTAAAATCATGCAAGAAGAATAGCATTGCACATAAAATTAACTTGAATAAACAAACCTGCAAGACAGCATTAAAGAAGCAAGTATTCCCAAGATTACTGAGTCCCTGAAATAAAAATGAAAAAAAAAATCAGTTAAAATATTTACTAGAAAAGTTAAGAAATATTAAAAACCCAACATATATTGGTTCATTTAGTTTTTGTTGTTGGTGGCATTAGGCACATTTAACTGTTGTTATTTTTTTTTTATAGTACTGTGACAACTGTCATATTAGCATGTATTTTTAAAAAAGATTTTGTCAAAATTGGAATATTTTTGTTTATAGATTGTAACATGAAAACACATTTTTCTTTAATAAGATTTCTTGAACATTCAGGCAAGTAGATGAAGATAAATAAATATACTGTTTAATAAATAAACAGAGCATCTACTCAGATATGAGTATCCAATAAAAATAATGTTTAAAGTAATAAAATCTATCAAATTAATAAATCCTTGAAATTCATTGATTTTGAACATGTAAGAAAATAAGCAACATTTTTGGCATTATTAAATTTTATTTATTTTAAGAAAGGTAAAAATGCAAATCAAATACAAAGAAGATTTGTACAATTTATGGAGAAGGTATATCAAAATATAAATATATGTCAAAAGTGGTCTGTGAAGTTTTATGCTAGAGATTTTTTTTTGCTTATTAATGATTTATAGTTGATAACAAGAGAACTGAAAACATCCAAATCACATGTTAGAAATCATTTGTATTATCTTGGTTATGTTACTCACTTTGATGTATGATTTTCACATAAGCAAAAAGAACAAAAAAAACTACAGGACTATTTCCATGTGCAACTCATAAAATATTTAAAACTTAATAAAAATGTTCCATTTTTTAAAATCATGAAAAGTGAATCCTTTACAACATGAATGATGGGGTAAATAAAAATGAATCATCACTAATTGTATAAAAGGCTGGTCTTTATCTAAAGAAGTTAATACTGTGTATATGGTGTGAATGGAGGGGACTCTTCTACTATGAGCTTCTTTGAAAGAACCAAACAACAAGTATTGCTTCCAAGTAGATCAATTGAAGACAGTAATCATTAAAAAAATATCTTTAATAAAAGAAAAAGGGTGTAATATTTTATCAAGATAATTTTAAACTGCATTTTTCTTTGGTGACTAGGCAAAACTTATTACAATTTGGTTTAGATATTTCCACTCATCCATTATATTCACAATGGCTTAGAGGTTTTCACTTATCTATTATCTTGAGTCACCATTTAGTGTGTTTTTTATAGAATTCTCATTATGAAAAACATTTTAATTTCTCAGAAGAAAAAGAGCACCTTTGCTGAGAAAGTAATTGCCTGAAAGATGGCAGAATATTATAGAAGGAAATGCTACATAGAATGTTCAATAAAGTTTAAAAAAAAAAAAAAAAAGAAAAACTATCTTATTTTTATTTAATAAACCCAAAGAATTTTTTTAACCCTCAATATGAACAGCCCAAGTGTAAAAACTCAAATAGTAAGCTATTTCTTGTGGTGTCCCTACTTTCATGTATTGTTTTATTACATACTTATCAATGAGAGCAGTAATATGTTACATGAATACGAGGACAGTATATTTTGTAAAATCTAACACACATACACTATATATATATATATATATATATATATATGGCAAGTATAAACAGTTAAACAGCCTCTCACTCATTATATATGTGAGATATGAGAGAAAGATCGCTAATCAGATCAGTGTACCATAATTTATGTTAACAAAGAAAGTAGATATAAATATTACATTAAATATCAATGTAGACAAAGTAACAAGAAAATGATCAAATCAACAGACATAGCTACATATTTATTTTGTGTTATTGTGAAAGTGTTTCTTTTATGACATTTATATTATGAAAATAGTTTGGGGGGGGGATTTTTGGTCCATAACTAAAGTTGACTATCAAATTAGAATAAGCTTTACAAATAAATTAGATTACATTTTGAAAATCATTTTTCAGTGTCTGCTATACAGAGGTCAAGTGTGAGAAAACTATTTTTCAATTCAAGTAATCTGACAGAATTTAGACCATAACCATATATCTTATTTACTCATACAAATGTCTCAGTGACTGAGAGGCCTTATAACCAATCTGTAGCAACTTTCATTCAATATTTTGGTTATGTAGATACATACCTATTTGTCAATCTATAGTAGTGATTCACAAAGTGGGTGGTACCGTCTCCCTCTGTGGGCAGTGGAAAGATCCAGGGGGGCCAGTGAGAAAAAAGTGGGCAGCCAGAGGGTGGCAGTGGCACATCTGAACCATAACATACACCAAACACAGATTGTATATGAAGTGTATTTTGCCTTCACTTTACAGTATATCCCACGTATACAAGGTGCGATGGGTAAATTGCCGCTATTATGTATTTTTAATTTCATGCAGGTGCGTTGTTTGTTTTGGATTTTGTCAACTGCACAGTATAACAATTATTATGAGAAATACTAAGATACTCATTTGGCATGCAATACTTGCACCAAGAAAATCCAATCTAAGGTTGATTATACATTGATAGAGCGTTAGGGATGTGTCTATACATTGGGGAGGCGTTAGGGTGGTGTTTTGGTACTCAAAGAGGTAGCAACCCAAAAAAGTTTGGGAACCACTTGTCTATAGCATCTCTGGTAACAGGTAGAGTGGGAACCAAAACAGTTGCTTCTTCTGTATTTGTTTATTTTATTTTGATAGAACAAAAATATCCATGCGTATTTGAAAATATTCTCAGCAATACACAATTTTTTTATTTTTATAGAACACTATCATAAAAAAAAAAAAAAAAATCACCTCTTTTTGCAAATTTTGTTATTTTTAGTAAAAATCACATGCCCAAACAATGATCATGCTGAAAACATTACAACATGAGCTTTTTCTTACCTTTATTCGAACATTCATGACACTGTTTGCATTCTTTGATAGAGCAGCTTTACCTTTGGCAGTTTTATTTTCTCCTTTGTTCTCTGATGCAGTATCATTACTCAACCGTGATGAAGCTTCTTTCTTACCTGGAAGAGCATAAAGAACAAATCAAAATATAAATGTATGATCAATGTGCTAAATACAAAAGATGATTTTAATCAATTGTTTTGGAATCAATAATTTTTTAGTTTTTTTTAAATGACAAGTATCATGAATAATTAAATTTAAATCCTAGTCAGTAAAGTAACTTTACAAAATTGTCTTTACAAATTATACAACACAGCTACAAAAATCAGGCTTTACCCCTCAAGATGAAATGTAGCAAACTGTAATTTTATATTTATAAAAATGTGAAAAATTACAATATTATAGGAAAAGTACTTACCTGAATCTAAAGTTAGTTTTGAAACACCTGCTTGTTGCTTGAGGAAATCAAGGCATTCAATAATTTTCTTGTGTTTCTCAATTGGAATTTCATCATCACATTTGTAACACCTATTGAAAAGTAGGCAAAATTTTAAAAAGGGGATTGCTTCATTATATTCAATGTCTGGTCCCTGTCAAGAGTGACAATGTGTGCAAATTCTTTTTACTTTTACTAGAATTTGGGTGGTAAGTTACTTATGGAAGAGTAATTTACCTATATACTCACTCACCCACTTTATTTATTGACCATCATGGCACAACAATCAATTGATTATGCTTTCTTTGTTGATTATTACAACACTATCTCACACCCCAACATTGACCTCAATATAAGGAAGATAAAATAGTGATTCCAGTGAGATTTTAAAAAGTTAGAAAATATGAAAGTATAAATTATTACTTTCTCCAGGAATTGCATTTTGATTTCAAATTATATTTAATTTAGTAAGTAAATCAAGTCATAAAAGTACATTACAGTTTGGGGGCCACTTTCTGGATTTAGAAGAAGCGCCTAAAAATTGAAGACTACACACCCTTTTCAAAACTAATTTACTAGCTCACTTTGGATCAGAGGGACTTTCTCTTTCTAAAGGGTTTTATCATATATTCATTAATAACAACAAAAGTAACCCATTAATATATAAAATTGCCTTAAAATTTTAGTTCTATTTGCTTAATTGACCTTTCTGGCTAATGGTAATTTTAGGGCTGATGGATTTTAAATTTCAGGTAACTCCTCTCTAAGAAATTGAATAAATGCACAAACAGGTTAAATAGTTTCGGTATCCTAGATTAGGAGTTAAGCCAAAGGCGGCATGAAAATGACTAATTATCAAATCCAGAGGGTGGCCCCAAATGTTTAGACTATAGTGCACATCTCAGGAAAGTATGTTTAATATTTAGACACAAAGGAACAAAATTGGCTATAAACTAACTTGACATCAAAATGAAAGCATACATATTATTTAAATTCTGAACTTCAAATAAAATAGGGAAAAAAGGAGTTAAAATAATGACTATGTCCAGATATAGAATTCTTGAAAGGAACTATTGGAAAGGAGCTACTCCAGAAAAGATGGAATGAACAGGCATGAAGCAATTACAAAAAACCCAAAAAGTCAGTTATTGGCAGAACTTCATTAAAAAAAAAATTTAAAAAGGAATATGAGAAAAGTGATCAAAATTGATAAACTCACCATGTTGACCATGATGTTGTGTTTATCACAATTAAGTGGGATGAAGAGCGAGGGGTTTCATAATGCTTAAGTGCATGTTTATCCTGAGAGTTACGATCACAGCCCTGCACAAATTAAGAAAGAAAGATTAAAATCACATTATTGCATATTTAATAAACTAAATTTTCAAAAGTAGAAAATTATCTTAGAAAAAAATATATGGAAAAAGGAGAATTTGAGAAAATCTGAGTAGAATGCATTCAATTCAGTATTATTGTAAGCATAAATTTCATGACAGATTAGATTTGGTTTGAAGTTAATGTGAGTCACAATGAAAAGATCTTTAATATTTTTATTAGATTTTATAGCTTTCCTCCATTATGAAACAATGCAAAAACTATATACAGTACCCTCATCTCCTATTTTGATTTCATTTTTTTTCTCTACATGTAAACCCTATTTAAGTAGAAGAATGGTCTATTTTACATATTTAATGGAATTAGATATGAATTTAATTTACCATTAAAAAACAATCTGTTTTCTATATTTTCTCTAAATGATAGATCATGAGTAACAACAAGTTTCAAAAGTCTTAGAAAATTAAATAAAGCAACTTTTATGCTTTATGTTAATAGTAGCTGTAAAGAGTACTAAAGTTAAGAACAAAATTGTATAAATTCATTACACAAGTTTTTTTTCCCATCATTTTGTTGACAAAATGAATAAATTATTTTTTTGAAAGGTTTATTTTGTTAAATTTGTTTCAAAATATTGAGTTTGTTTTCCCCGAAATCATTATTCAGTAATTTTAGACATAGTATGTATTCATAACTGGCATCTACTGCACTGAAAAACATTTTAATATATAAGCATTAGAAAATCTTTTATTCTAATTAATGAAACTAAAATATTCTCTCAGAAAGAATTTGTTCTTTTAATTGATACAAAATTTAACCACTTCAATTCAAAGATTTAGCTTTATTTATCATTTAAATGGGTTCACAAACTGATTTATTGGCTCATTAAACCTCTTCCTGATTTAAACTATTACTTTCAGATCTCTTTATTTTATTAAAACAAAATATTTGTGTTTATAGACTATGTCTTTAATGAAGGGAAGTCAAATACTAAAAAAGAAACAACTTTTTACAATAAAATTGTACATTAAAAATTTAAAGCTATGAAAAGAGCAAAACCAAAAAATAAACATACAGCATAGAGAAAGTAGTAAAAGTTGGTAGACTTAATAATTTCCATTTGAATAACACAAGCAGACAACATTCACTATGTAAATAACTATTTTTAAATAGAAAAGCCTAAAACATGCAAAAAAGAGAAAGAGTCATGTCATGGTTTGAAAAATGGAAATGTCCTAATTTATATATCAGTTTGGCTTTTGGCACAGCCTATGACTGCAATTATCTTGAGCAGAATGCCGTAACAGATATGGTATCATTTAGAAGTCAAAAGTGTTATTGCTGAGCTGCTGACATTTAGATCAGGAAAGAGAGAAAAAAAAATGTAAAAAAAAATGGAGAGAGGTGCTCTCTGCTTACACACCTGATGCCCACACTGAAGACAAATCCATAATGTTGGTTCATAGCCATCAATCAAAGTTTCTGTATCTGGAGGTTTTTGACCTTTGGTGTTGCTGTCATTACCCTTTCTTATACAATCCTAGAAATAAAAGAAAAGTTTATTCATCAGAGAAACTGTTACTTTCATTTAGCACAGATATACATAAATTTAACCTTTTAATCAGTGAATTGTTCATAAAAACAAAGCAGTAGAGTTTATTTTATTCTTCTTTTAATTAAATAGATATTCTGATACAACTTGAGATCAATTATCTAGCATCAGTAATGAAACAAAATATTTAAAATTTAGTGATATTGTACATACCCAAAATGAATGAATTTAGAATAGATTGTATCAAGCAATTAAATGGAAAGATTTAGTGCAGGTATATTTGCAACAACCTTTCAAGATCTTATGCTAAATGCTTTAACAAAAATAAACAGCTCTTGCAAATTAAGACAAATTTAGTACTAGGTACATACTCATGAATTCATACTAACACACATACCCAAAATATTGTAAATAGCTTGTTTTCTAGGCAGCAATACCTTCTTTAAAATGTTCTATTAAATTAGGTACCTCCACGAAATCGCTAAAAAAAGAGCATAGCTTGATGAAAAAGACGCCAACCTTGCCGAAAACAAAATTTTATTGTCTAAATGCTTATGTTATTATTAAGAGGAAAGACCAAAGTTTTTTTTAATTATTTTTTAAAAAATTTCCTTCTTTTTAGAACATTCTAAATTTTGATTAAAAAAAAATTTTTTCTATTTGTATCAGCAGAACTAGTAAATAACATAGACAATTTTTAGCACGTTTTTTTTGGTATGACACACATTAATTTGAAAAATCGTGCAAAAATAGAAATAATTATCAGATGTTAATTAAACTTTCAGGAACTATTCACAGATGATCGAAATTATTATAAATATGTTTTTTTATGAAAGTCATGGTAGAAATATTTTTTAAAATATTTATTACCCCCCATAACTAATTTTATGAAAACGCTAGAAATTTGATCGCATCGGTTTTAGTGATTACAATAATTAAAAGCACAGGGCTTTGAGGAATGCAAATCATGTTTTTTTTTTTTTTTTAATTGGATACCCAGTACCTGAAAATCAGCTCTGAATTGTAACATACAAAACTCAATAAAACAAAGATATTATTTAATTTCAAATGCTTTTATTTGCTTTTTTTTAGTTGTTTTTATGAATATGGACAATATTTTCTGAAAGCAAAAAAATTTTTTCGATGAAAAATGAATTTTTAATACAATTATTTGTTATTTCATTAATTATAATAGATTTTACATTTAAGTTGTTAAAATATTATAAAATTAGTTAAGTGTCCTTATGAGATAGATCTTTTTTTTAGCGCGTTGTAAATTGTATCATTTTGACTAATCAGAAGATACCCAGTAATTAAGAAATGTAATTTTGTGCTTATAATCGAGCTGTAATTATAAAATACGGAAGACCAACCAGAATATAATTAAGTTGCGTTATTTGAGTTAAGCATTGTTCTCTGCTGTTAAGGCCTTTACTTTTGCGAAACACGTGTGGAGAATTTAATTTGATTTTTCAATTTCAACTGAGAATGGTACCTACAAGTATCAGTATCATCTTATGAAATTTATATGATCTTATTTTTATATTAATATCAGTTACGACATTTTTCCATAAATGAAATATCAAAATTAATAATAAAATGAATGCAAATATAAATAACAGTAGAATGTAATAAATGTACATAAAATTATAGTATTTTATGTACAATTCTGATAAAATTTCATAAGAAAGGTACCTATAAATTAATTAGATACCTTTCTTAAGAAATATGAAATTTAATGTCACTCTTAACAGTTTTATTTTAATTTCTTTACAATATATTTCCCATAAAGCATCATAAATGTAAAGGTGAAAGCTAAGTACAAAAAAAAAAAAAAAAAAAAAATTAGACCGCTGAAAGTTTTCGTTTAAAAATAACGGGTAAATAATTTGTTCGTAAATGTAAATTATTTCACTTTTCTCCTTCCGTAGAACAAATTAGCCTCATGGAATTCGTAAATATATCATTCATCACATGTCAAGAGATGCGAAAGTTTATGACCTGCTTTGTTTTATTTTCAAATTACATCTTTTTGGCACAAAAGCTAAGTTAAGTTTGGTTCAAAATATTTTAAATAAACATTATAATTTCTGATTTTCTTAAAATAAGTTTTGAAAAAATGATAATTGATATTTAAAAAAATTGCAAAGTCAGATTTCCAGTTTTTTTTAAAATGGAAAAAAATGGTCAATTTTGCTGACTCAAAAAAAACTAGATTTTTAACGAAAATTTCGGACGTGCTAGGAATGATTAAAAAATGGAAAAAAATACCCCAAAAATACTTTGACCTTTCCTCTTAATAATAACAAACATTTAGATGATAAAATTTTGTTTTCGTCAAGTTTGGCGTCTTTTTCATCATGCTATGCTCTTTTTTTAGCGATCTCGTGGAGGTACCTATATTAAATAGAGCAGACAAGGAATGTCTGTTAGGACTTTAATGAGTTTTTAGTCTTGGAACCTTGTAAATTATATATTATACTCCAAGTACTTTCAATCAGACCCATTGTTGGTCATTTTCAAGGAAAGACTGTGTAGAGTCAAGAGATTGTGTAGTGTTTATGTTGTTAAAGGCCTAAATTTTTACATGAAAGTAGGTTCACAGTTATTTTATGAATCTATTGGAAGAAATGTTTTTACAATCCAAATACACTGTAGATACTAACCTTTATATATATTTTTTAACACCATCTGTTGCTCTAACATTCTCTTAAGGAGAAAATAGATTGACAGATTAAATTAGAATATCTAATATTATAGAGAACTTGGCCTTCATATTTGTTGCAGTTAAAGTGTGAAAAATGAAAGTATACAAAAATGTCTGTGATTTCTATACACATAAATATATTCTGTATAATATGCTTCTTTAAAGTTTAACAAATTAATTGTACTTGAACATCAAGGGAAATTATAAAAATTTGAATGAGAGATTTTATTATTTGTTATATACTTTGTCCAGAGTTCAAAATTTTCAGAACAAAAAGTTATTTAATAAGATGTTCCACTAAAAATATTAGTCTAAAACGCTTCCTGGATCTTGATCTTTTTAATATTCGCAATTCTATTCTTGTTAATTCAACAATTAAATAATAAAAGATAATTGCAACAAAGATATTTTTATCTTAAAATAAACTTTTCAATTATTTAAACTGTAAAAAAAAAAAATAAATGAATGAAATTGTATTAATTTAGTATCAAAATCTTCATTAAAATAGTTTTAAGAAACTGAAAAAAATGAAATAAGTAAAGAATAACTTACTCTGCAGTCACCAAGTTTCTCCTTCAAAACAACTTTTCTCATAGCCATAAAATTCACAGCCTTTTTTACATGTGGACAGCCTTGTCCTGTAATAAACAAAAACATTTTAAATTAAATTTTGAAGAAATTTTACAATTATTATGTCACTTATTTATAGGTTTTGTCATCAGCGTTTATTTTGAATAACTATATTTTCTATCATGTATCTAACCTGACATTTCATAAATAAATACTACCACCAGAAGTTTTTTTCATAGCATCTATCTTGACCAAAATACTATCTATTTGAAATAATATTTATCAAATACATTAACAAACAATTCAAAAATAGAACTCTAAAAATTCATCAGTGGTAATATTTTAAAATGAAGCCTCACTAAGACTTTAAAATTTATTCAATTTAACCTCTTCCCTGCCAATTATTTTGGGATTAACATTTCATTTTCAGGCAAATTTTTTTTTTTTATTTATTTTTAATATAGTAATTAAGAAACTGAGGTATCTTGAAGTGCCAAAGTGGTGGCTAACACCTTTTCCAGATGTATGAATTGACAACTGTATTTGTTTCAAGCCCAGAAGGGCATAAAAAAAATGAAGATCGATGTATAAACATGTCTGTAGTTGGTTTTTGAACATTATTTTTTGGATGTGTTTATTCATCCATGTTTGAAAAAGACACTTTCGGTAAAAACGTATATATACATGTCTACGCCAGGAAAGGGTTAATACTAACATGTTAGTATTTTATTATTTACACTATTTGCATTCTTCGTATTGTTGTCCTCATCTTTATTGCCATATTCACAATGTTTCAGCCATCGTACACTCAGGCCTTCTTCAGGAGATATTAGTTGGAATTTCAAACCAAACCTGTTATTTAGTCCACAGAGGTAGATTGTTGTAATTCCATGTGCCATATCACTCGAAGAAAGCCAAAGCGTACAATGTCCAAAATGATGTGAAAATAGCAGTAAAGTTGAGGACAACAGTCCGAACAATGTAAATAGTGTAGTTACAATACCTCATCTCAGAAATATAAACAGATGTTAGTATTTTATTGTAACATTAATTGATATGTCTTGAAATTACTTTTAAATTACACATGTATACCTTAAAACAGTATTCAAACTTGGAATTTAACTCCTAGGCATTTTAATAATACTTTAGTATAGGTACTTCAAACATTTTCTAAAAAGAGCATACCATGATAAAAAAAAAAAGAAAAAAAAGGCCCCAAACTTGATAAAAACAAGGTTTTATCATCAAAATGTTTGTTGTTATTAAGAAAGAACAAAGTAATTTTGATTATTTTATTAATTTTTTTAATTAAAATGTTCAAAATTTTGGTTTTTCTTGTGTCAGTGGGTGTGCCAAAGATTAATATTGGAAATTTTAATGTCTTTTTTTGGCATTAAAAACACATTGTTTTGGAGATCCCTAAAAAAATCAAACAATTGTCAGATTTTAATGAAATTTTCAGGACTTATTCACAAAGGTATAAAATTATTTTTGAAATAATTTTTTCTTTAGAAAATCTTGGTAAAATTTTTTTTTTTTTTCTTTTTACACATCTATTATGCCCACTTACGTAATTTTATGAAATTTGGAGAAATTAAAATTCCAGCCTATTTGTATTAGTTAAAAGCAGGATTCCTTGGAGAATTTAAATTTTTGTCAAACAGAAACACAATTTATTGAAAATCTAATCAGAATCGTAAAAATAAAAAATGCAATAAAACTATGACATTAATAAGAAAAGCTTTTAATTGCTGTTAGAATTAAGATATATTAAAGACACTAGGAAAAAGGATTTTTTCACTGAATAATGAATTTTTATAAGAATTGTTTTCTTTTTTTTTTAATTAGAAAAACTTATTAAGTTTAACATCTTTAAAAATTCTGTTAATTTCAGTCTTTTAAATGATATTAAGTGAAAACTATATTTACTAATCATAAATGGAAAAGCTTAATACAAATCAAACATCAATATTTTTAAAAGAATTTTGAATTCTTTTTGTATGTGTAGAAACTTGCTGATTTTTATAAGTATGGGTGACTACACACAACATTATCAGAAAATAAGAATGATAAATACAGTAAATTTAAAGCCAAAATTTCTCAAATTCAATAAAATATTTAATTACATAGGACATTTTCCTAAATTTTTAAGATTAATGAGTACTTAAAAATTATATAAAAAAGGCACTTGTGTCATTTTCTTCAATTATGTTTTACAAATAAAGTCTCTGTAGAACAACATTAAGTCTGTCAACACAGCTACTGTCAGGTTAAAAAATGTATTTCTGTGATATTTTAAACTAAGTAAATAATATTTGTTTCAAGTCACATTAATTATACTTTAAATCAGCTAATATTCCTCAAATAAAGGTTCAAAAAAGTATATTTTATTTTTGGAAGATTTTTTAATAAAGAGAATTACATTGTGATGAAAGAAAAAAAAAAGGTGCTAATAAGATATTTTAGCAAAAAAAAAAAAAAATCCTTCTTGTCAATTTATTTTAATTATTGGAAATATTAAATTTAATCTATTAGCTTGAAATTAAAATTAAAATAACAGAAAAATTTTTCATTATTAAAAATTCATTTTAAACGTTAGATATCATGTTTTTTGTGGAGGCCCCTACTTTATTTTTATCCTCTAATGCCTTGTTTCTGTTTCAGAAATGAATTGCAGGGTATAGCATGAAAATATGAGAAAACCTGAAGGAAAAATCATAAAGACATTTAAAAAATTGTTTTATATTTAAATATTTTAAAATGTTTCATCTTTCTAAATGATATTTCAACTCATAGAAGTGAACAAAAAAAAATGTTTCAATGATACCCTTTATGAGAATAGAAAGTCTGGTTGGGAAAATGTAAACTGAGATTTATATAAAGGAAAAAAGATTTCATTTACGATTTCATTAAGTGGTTTAATCTGGAAAATGAAAGCATATTAGTAATATCTCTGTATATAATAAAGAAAATGCTGTCATTATAACAATGTATAAGGGGACATATCTATTAAGGGTTAAATGGGTTTCTATAGAAAGATATTGGAGCGCAATCTGAAACCTTAAGTCAATGACATCAACACGACTCCCCACACACCTGCTACTCTTCTATTTCATAATTCCCAACTGGACAACATCTTCACATTTATCTCTAATCGAGACAAGATTTGTCTCACATCTAAGCTAAGTCTAGCCCTGGTCATTATTGGCAACTAGTTTTGATTAAATTTGCATCCCAAAAACAACTAAAAGGTTTTGCTTTCAAATGGAAGAGCAGTACTAATGGAAAGAAGTAAAAATAATTCTGTGCTAACAGATCAGAACAATATCTGCTGAATTAGTTGATTCTTTTATTCTACTCTTGTGATTTGCTGTTTTCTGGAACATTCACCCATGTACTCCATATTATTTAATTAGTTTATAATTAGCTTATTAATTTCCATTATAATTACTCTTTTTAAATTAAAAAAAAAGATTTATTTTATTTCTGTCCAGTTCATTAGCTTTAATTTATGCCACAGATATTGATTTCTTTTTAATCTTAATTTTACTTTTTGACCTGTGATTAATTTCAAAAAACAACATATCCAGCAACCACAACTTTGATCTAAACAACAACAATAGGAACTATAATGAAAATTTGTGTATATTTGCATAGATTATATATAATGTATGTGCAGATGCAGGTGTAAAAGGACAAAAATATTGTATAAGGCTACATTATTCATTTTCAAATTTGAATGGTTGAGCATGAGTGAAGACACATGCCCAACATTTCACTTGGTTCTTCATTCAATGAACTCAATATACTTGTCCATTTTTTGTTTTAAAAGAAAGGCTTATTAAACTCTTGTTGAATCATTCATTGTATACAAATGCATACATCAACGTCAGGTAAATAAAATTACACTGATATACAAAGTTGTTCAATATTCTTACTTTGATTATCTACAACCTTCCTTTCTTTTCATTTTAGGAGATATTACATTTATTTTTAGTCATTTAAAGCTATTTGCCTTTCATTTATTTTATCTTATTCTGCATCAGCTGTTGACCTCTTACACTTAAACTAAACTGTGTAACAAAATTTTAACTTTTTTTTGTCTTTGGTCAGTAAGTTATTTCCTAACTGCTTCTGACTAGAAAACAAAGGAAATGACAATTATTCCTTTCAAACTTTGCTTTTATGATATGTACATTGATGTTCTGAAACTGACCTATTTTCTATTACATTCCAGACAGATTCAGTGCTGAGTTACTGAAGGAGAATTTTCAAGAACTTTTGAGAAGTTTCAAGAATTTCTAGAATGTTCTGGCTACCAAGGATCATATAATGAAAACATGATGAGATACTATATTTGCAGGCTTATTTGTGAAAGTAATTTACAGTATAAGAGTAAATCATGAAAAACTATTCACTTCTAAATTATTTTGCAGTCTCTCATGTAATCCTAAAATAAATAAATGCTACTTTTGAATCATGTTGTTTTGTTTCTACTTAGCATGAATGAGAATATTCACATTTTTCCCCAATGGGAATAGGTAAATTTCTGAAATATCATTATCCTGGTTGCAAAAGCAATGTTTGAAGAAATATTAGCCATTTTTCAAATTTTCTAGATATAAGCAAATAGGAAATAACAGTTGCTACCTAAAGACAAAAATCGTGTTACACACTGCTATTAAAGTCAGTAGCTATGATCAAATGTTTAATGTTTGAAATAGTCAACTCTGGTACAGACGTACCAGCAAGTTCCTAATCAATGTAATACTCAATTCTTCCATTTTAATTTAATCTTGAATAATTAACTCAGTGCCACAAGATGATAGGGTCAAAAAAAATATATTTTGCTTTTGCTGTAAGATGGCATCAATAGCATTTAGTTTTGACTACATTCCAAAAGATCCTTTGCTTGCATTGTAATAACTGTCATATGCAAAAAAAAAAAGTCAAAAGTGGCATTAATTTTTTTGTTCACTAATTATCTCATTGAAGATAAAATAAAATGTACTGAAAAATAACATTTTTCAGTACATTGTTTTTATTTAAAAAAAAAAAAAAAGGTTAAAAACATGACTAAAATGTAAAATATTTGTGTAGTTTATAGAGAAGGTACTGTGAAAGATCAAACATGTCAAAAATAGTTTGTAAAGTTTCAAGCTGGAAATCTCTCACTGAATTATGCCCTAGTCAAATAGACCAGTTAAGATTGATAATGATCAAATCAAAACATTATTTACAAATAATATTATATAACATAGAAGTTAACATACTCAAAATATCCAAATCAAGTACTGATAATCATTTGTACCAGCTTGGTTATTCTAATCATATTGATATGGGGCTTTCTTACGGTAAACCGACATTCCCCAGACAGTACCTCAATTTTAACTCCCACCATCATACAGCGTAAAGAAAGGGATCGTCCGCTGCTTATAACACCGAGCAAAAGACATAAAGTGGCGACCCAGAGACACTAGATAAAGAATTGGTCAGTATATGTAGTACCCTACAATGTAACAACTACCTTTAAAGATAATGTTAAGGTGATTTTTACCTTAATAATGATCCTGATTTGTGTATATATTTGACTATGAATAAAATTGTTTAACATGAACAAATTGTAATGCATTTTCACTATTTTTAACTTGATGTATTTAAAATTAAAATCTAGTGGAATCCTTATTTTAATGTCTTTGGTTTAGTTGTTTTGTTCAATTAAAAAATTTGTAGACCATCTGAAAAAACATATTTAAGAGTCCATAAAGTGGAATTCACTGATTTGACTGGAAAATGAAGTTTCTTTTATCAGATAAAGAAACCCCTATTTGTAGTGCATGTGTGTGGCTAATCAAATGACCAGCTCTTATGACCACTGAGATGAAAGGAATGATAGAGCTCACATTATCAATTACTTGATAATCACTGATGTTCATCATTCATCTTATAGTACCTATGTGTTATCTTGCACACATTCAAAGGACAGTTCCCTCCAATTTCAGAAACACATGGCAACATATGGATTTTACTATGTAACATAACATGTTTTACTGGTTGACAAAGTTATGATTACCAGATGAAATTTTAAAATCCTAATTCTTGCAATTTCCTTTACTCCAGCTTATTAAGTTAAAACCTAATTAAATTTCAGGTTTGCACCCTAGTGGTTCTCAGATGCATTCAAGTATTAATTTACCTTTTCTCCCTAATTAATTTTTCTAATTCCTTTTGTAAATCACTTCCCTTATACAAGGTTACATTTTACAATTTTACCACTGCCTAACTATATTGCCACAAACTCACAATATAACTATTATTTTGAGACTTTCATACAAATGGCTGCTGCTTGTTTATATATGTGCAGAACAAATTTGTTTTCATCCTAACTGTGCAGATAGATGGTGCCATCATCCAGCAAATAAAATTTTAGCTTACCAAAAAGTATTTTTATTTTAGATATTGATAAAATATGAAGTGGCTAATAATGTGAGACAGTATATAATATGATAGATGCATATAGACAAATTACAGTTACATAATAAAAAAATGAATGTAGTGTTTTTTTTTTTTATTAAACTTTAGTATTATTTTATAGATGAAATGAAAAACAAATAAAAGGTCAGGAGGAAGACTTATTTTGATAATGCAGCTCAAAATGTCAAAATGTTGCACCTGTTTATTAATTAAAAAACTTTCTGTATTTTCAAAGTGATAAAATGTTTACATGTAACACTAAATTAGCCTATTTGAAAATAAAGTTCAAATATAAAATTGCTTGAAAAAAAAAAAAAAAAAAAAAAACAATTCAGCAGCTTGTGTGCTTTTTGTTTTATTGTGAAAAAATGTTCATGTGAAATCACATTTTTAAAAGGTAAGTTTCCATTGACTGCCTTTCCATCCGGCCTCAACAGGCACTGTCATCATCATCATCATCTTTGCTACTTTCCTGCCTATTTATTAAAGGCATTTGTCTGTTAGAGCTGCCAATTGTTAAACAGGAATATGTGGTTACCAAAATTCAAAGAGGCAGAAAAGAGGAAAAACAGACAGTGAGAAGAGAATGAGAACAATATTCAGCACATTACACTTGTACAGTCTTAGGAAAATAATCAATGTCATAACAACCAGTTTCTGGAACTCAGTGGATCAATTTTGCATGCTGCTAAAAGATAATTTCTTTTTGTTATTACTGTTATCTTCCTTTTTTATCCACAAGTTGTAAGAAGAAACCATAAAAAACAGCTAATCTATATTTTTGATATGAAAGAATTGAAGTCAGATAAAAAGTATTGAAAATGTAATTTAAAGTATGATATAGAAAAAATAATCCATGTATTTTTTTCCTTTTTTTTTATACTGTTCTTGGCACTAAATGTCATATGCCAGTAAATAAAGCTAATATGATATTAAAAAAATATATCAACTGTATAGCAAGAAAAGAACAAAATGCAAGGTCTAATATTCTTTAATTCAGTGAATTTTTCAGAATATTACACTTGTTCATCCTTTCCTGTTAATGCTGATGTTGACACCCAATCCCTTTAGCATGAGTAAATGTTAGTTTTAGCAAATTCTTGATTTCAATAGAACTAGCCTGAAGATTTCACATCATATAAATATAAAACAAGGTGGGAGCTAAATCTGAATACACTAAAGTAACTGAAAGATGAATATTTCTATATTTTATAACTTCAAACATATACAAAAATAACCAAATAAAAATGCTGTACATTTAAATACAAAAAGAATGATCATTTTTTTTTTAAATTACTTTCATAAGTCTAAATTGTGCAGTATATTATAAAAAGAATGTCACTACACACACTGATGTGACACTATTTAGCTATGGTAATTGGCTAACTAATTAACCATAGAAATTAAAAACAGGAAAGACTTAAGGTGAGAAAGAGCTATATCGAAAGATAGACTGAACGACGTTAAAAAGAAGATTTTATTTTATTTACGAAGAAAGATATTTTTGCACAAGACAGAAAATCCGTAAGAAAAAGCGAGATATGAGATTCTGTCAAAACTGATTAATGTCATGGTAAGGGAATGATGCACAAAGGGAAACAGAATTCAGAAAGAAAAGCAAAGCCGGCTGACACATGGCGGTCATAAAAAAAATTTCAGACGACCGCAATACAGGCAGAGAGAATCAATATTAGTTATCTTTCAGAGATATCATTTAATTTTGATTCCTGGGTCCAACGAAAGGAAATCATCTGGTATGTGTTAGAATTCTGGCATGAGGAAGAAAATCATAGAGGAAATTATTATTATTACTTTTACAAACTGTTGACGTCAGACACAGCGTCGTCAAAAATGGGCATCTGGTGATAAGAGGATTTTAAGGCATGAGAAAAATAAAGAATTTGATTCTCAGGTAAAACACGGACCCCCACCCCCACCCCAGTTAAAAGTTGACTTAGCAGAGAAGCCAGATGTTGGGTTTTGACAGTGATTGATGAGTTGATAGAGAGACCTGACTAAGTGAATTTTGGATGTCCCCAAAAGAAAGATGTGATAAAAATTATTTGGCAATCTGGGGTTTGAAAAAAAAAAAAAAAAAAAAAAAAAAAAAAATGTTCCCCAAAAGAAAGATGTGATAAAAATTATTTGGCAATCTGGGGTTTGTGAAAAAAAAAAAAAATGTTTTGGCTGAAGGAAAAAAAGAAAAAAAGGATTTTGTAAACAAAATTCTGGATAATAATTTTAAGAGGGCCAGTCTAGCCACACGCACATTGCCGAGACATCATTGGTCAAGTGGTAGCATGGGTGATAGGTGGAGGTGAATATATGAGAAAGACGGAGAAGTTGTTAACACCCATTGAGGGGATTGGTATGAGATACCAATGTGATAGAGGAAGAGTCTAGGAGGATAACTCTCCTCCGACCTTCCCTCATGGATGAGGGAGAAACCCCTGAAATGGAATGTGATTAATCTTCCAAAAATGGGAAGTAATTAATTTTCCTGGCCTAAGAACAAAGAGAATTCTTGTTGGGAATCGAGAATTATCGAGGAACCCAAACCACGTCAGGCCCCACACCGGGTTTTGGTCAGTATCCATATAAACGAACGTCTCCAGGCAGTTTCAGTTGTAGTTGGAGTTGGAGTTCAGTTCCAGACAGAGTCAGAGTGTTGCCTTGTGGAAGCTGACCAAGAAATTCCACGTCCTTTCAACTTTGACTTCCTACCAAAAGCCAGTTATATTGACGAACGACTTAAGATACCAAAACTCACTTAAGAAACGCAAAAGTGTCAAAAATCCATAGAAATGGGCTGGGAGAGAAACACACTCCTGTATATAACAGACGGATAAAGATAATTTGTTATTTATCAACATATTTGAACCTCTTGAGTTTTGTTTTATTGCTTCATTTACTTATGCTTGTGCAATATCACCTTCACCCCGGATACAGCTTGCCCGACGCCTAATTGATTTTGTCTGCCTAAGATCAAAGTCACAACATGGGTAAGTTAGACTTGAGATCAAAGTAGTTACTTTGGTAACCAGACGTTGGAAGTGAGCTGGGAACGACAAGGCTGGTATCGAACCAGGAATGACCAGATCGACCAGGACACAGGCTGGTGGCAGTGACAAGGAGTCAACCCCAAGCGCTGGTGGAAGAAACCTTACAGTTTCGCACCACAACTGGGAGTTGACCACAGGCTGACAGCGCAGTGTCACATATTGGCATCGCAACCAGAGGACATCACATATTGGTGCTGTGACCACCAGTGGGTGTCACACTGACATAGAATAGTGATTACTACAGTTGTTGAAAAAATGTTTAGTCATACCTATATTATTATCATAGTAAAAATATTAAATTTTACATTGTATTTCTTATAGTTTAAAATATTAGATCAAAATTTACTTACCAAATATACTTTCCTCAGATGATTCTGAACCAATAGACCTTTCTTGAGAAAGTTTTAGCTTTCTATTCTTGCCCATGTTGTAACTCTCAGACTGAGAAGGCCCAAGTATAATCATTGATAAATGTTCAATTTGACTGAAATGCAGAAAAGTCAGAATTAGAATGAAAACTGGAAACAAACAATTCAAAATTAATATTTTTAACTTTTAAAAAACTTGCATATTCATTTTTGATATCTGATCACCAATCATTACAAAATAAATTTGTGTGTCTAGTAGTCATTTTTGCAAGGTGGTTGTCCACGTGATGATTTGTGAATGTTTTCACATAACATTCTCATGGTGGTAGTAGTAGGTAGATATTATTTAATTTAAAAAAGGATTTTATAAAAGTTGGTGATGTAATATAGTGTATTTGACATGTGTTTATAGATAGTTTGTGATTTAACAGAATTCCCTCAAAGTATTTTCTACATAAAGAAGTATGTCCTTTTTTTTAAAATTAGGGTGGCATTTATAAAATCAAAGTTATGGCCAGATTTGTTCTTATTACAAGTGTGTTTAAAGGGTTGTTCCAATGTAGGTATGTCCTACATTCATATATCCAGGCTTTTAGATTCCTTCATGTCTCTCCATTGTAACTATTACTACATTGCAAGCACTTTATTTCATAAATCTCAGCATCTGAAGTCGTGTTAGATCTATTTTTCTTCCTAACTATATCTCCGATTGTCTTGGAGATGGTGGTAAAGACCATAGTTTTGGGAATAACTAATTTATTTCAAATGTTGGAGATAGAATGTCGAAAGGTAAGATTATAAATTTTATTTTTTTTATATTAGAAATGTCGTTGGTGGTGTCTGCTTTTTTTGAGTTGTGAACTCTGTATGCTTCTTTTTAGTGTTTTCTAATGTTCCCTAAATCAAAATGTGGACAACAACCATACATAAATAAAAAATACCTACAAGATTCACACAAGCAGATATATATTGTCATCTGAATCCTGCATAAAAAAATAGAATCATAATACTTACACACACAAATTTACATATGAATGCTGCTTTACAAGACAAAACAGTACAAAAATTAAAAATACCATAATTTTTTTAATTTTTTCTCCATATCTCATTCTTTGATAAAGCTTCAATAAAGTTGAAACATGTTAGATTTATAAATGTTTCCTATTTGTTCCTTATCTTATTATTTATATAATAATAATTTCTTTAAACATTATTTTTAATGGCTACTCATATTTGAATAGATGCTCTGAAACAGTATATTTATTTATTTGCATCTATCAGCCTGAATATTCAAGAAATCTTGTTAGGAAAATATGTACCTTCTGACAGGATTCAAACATGCATCCCCTAGGGCAGGGGTGGGCAATTGTTTTGGCTGGAGAGCCACATTGTCAGCGCAGAGGGCTGCATTGATCGTATTCATTAGTGAACATGAAGTTTTATTTCTGAAAAGGTGTAATTTCAAGCATAAAAATCAATAAATAAAACTTAAATGATTGAGGTAGTTTTATTTATTTATGAGCAAATTTTACATCACATTTAATTATTTAATGGGACAAGTGTATTCTATCACAGCTTTTAACAATTATTTTGAAATCAGGAATGAGGTTGCTTGTTGAGATCCTCATTACTGCCTGCAAATGTTAAAGAGCATCTATATTTATTCTTGTTAATTTTCATGTAAGAAAAATTTTGTTCACAAATGTATGTTGATTCAAATATACAGAACATTTTCCCAGCAAAACTCTTCATACATAGAAATTTATCAGCAGACAATGATTTATAAAACTCAATGTCCCAGCATTATATATTTCTTTCATTGTGTGATCAGTTTGTATGTCTATTAAATCAAGCTGCAGCTCCCCAGATGCTGTATCAACATTAGCAGTGAATGGATAAAACAACAAATTGAATTCAGGCTCAATTTTCTTGAAGTCCTGAAATCTTGTGATTTCATCCTCCAAACTCTGCAAATAACCCCTAATCATAGAAAATTTTCAGGCACTTTCTCGTCTCCTATTAAAAGGAAATGATAAAACTTGACCTCACCTGCTTGCCTTAAAAATAACCCTACTTTTGTGTTGAAAGATTTTACATTTTTTCACATTTCATGTGCAAATAAGCCCTTTCCCTGCAATGTCACATTCAATTCATTCAGTTTGTCAAATATGTCTGCTGTAAACATCAGTTCATATCTTCACTCCTCACATTCCATTTTGGTCACAATATCACATGAAATCCTTTTCATATCTAGAAATAATAGAATAATGGTTGTATATTTCATAGATTCCAGACCAAGTAATTCCTCTGTAATTATGAAATTTGTATCAATTCCATGGATAAAGACAAGTAATTGTGCAGTGACTTCATTATTTGTGCTCTCATTGAGAGCCAATGAAAACCAAACAAAGTTTTGCTTGAAGTGTTCAACTGTTCTTTGAGTTCTTCATTTAAGTCAATGTGCCGTACTATTGTCCTTCTTGATAGTGAAATATTTTCAAATTTCCTTTAACTTCAGGACACACTACACGTGCACAATTCACCATGCACTGCTTCACAAACTCACTGTCTGAAAATGGCTTGTTGTTTGGCAAGGTTGAAAACTACAATGAAACTGGCCTCTGTAGCACTATTGTGAAAACCAGCTTACTTGACGAATATTGATTGTTGTTTCTTAAGCTTTGTAACATACTCTGAAGCTTTTTTCTTACGTTCTTCCTCAGAAAAATTGTTGCAAAATTCTTCATGTTTTGTTTGGTGGTGCCGTTTCAGATTATATTCCTTAAATACAGCAACTGCTTCATTGCAAATTAAGCATACTGCTTTATTACCGGTGTTGCAAAAGTTGTGTATCCAGTCATCTATTAAATTCATGGCATTCATCACCAACCATGCACTTCTTTGAAGGATTCATGGTTCCACAAGGTAGGAGATTTACTGACTTAACTGTTACAAAGACAAAATCGAAAGAGAAAAAGAAATGGAAAAGTGGGTAGGTTGACTGATTGTGCATGTGTAGCACATTGTTAAACACAGATCTGAATCTATTGCACAAGGGGGGGGGGTAAGTCTTGGCCCAAGGCAGCAATTTACTTTGACCAGGTTATGAAATTTTAGTTTAGATGTGCTTTTTTTTCAAAATGTCTCAGCAGGCTGCAGAAAACTCCTTACCAGGCTGCAGTTTGCCCAGGCCTGCCCTAGAGGAAACCATCATTAGATTTGACTTGTCTTGATCTCTTGACTACGTAAGACCTCCTGATCAAACAAAGCCTGAATAGTGCTTTTAAACACATATCTTTCCCAATTCTTGAAATATCTATATCTGCCTTGTTTTGTAGCCTAACAAAGACAATTTTTTTAGGAAATGGATTAAATCTGACATATTTTTAATTTATTTGTTTAAACATTCTGTTTTTATTATTACACAGTAATATAAACGGAATTCACCTTACCTTTTCAAATTTTTCTCATAATACAAAAACATTGTTTTTCGATAACATATATAAATTAAGATATTTCAAATTATTTGATACAATTAAATGGGTTTACAAATGTAAATTGATCATTTTTATTAAAACCATTAGTAAAGAAAACATTATCCTTACAGGTTTATGATACCAATAAATTGCTTAGATTTTATATTTCTTTATATATTTAGAGAATTCTCAAAGATCAGATATAAATGCTAATAGACAAAATATCAAAATGACTAATTTGTCTGATGTCAGTCAATTCATATTTATTAACAACAAATTATCACCCCCCCCCCCCAATCTATAGCATAATTTAATCCAGGGCTGTGGAGTTGGAGTCTTGTAAAGCAGCGTTCATGTGTAAAATTATACAGACTCCGACTGCAGGTGAATTTACACTTTATGAAAAAAGTTTTACATTATAGAATTTTATTGTTATTTATTCTACTGTATATTTACTATTTCCTTTAAAGAAATTCATCTCAATTTCTTTTTTTAAAGTCATATTATTTTTTTTTTGCAGTTATTTTGTATTTGCAAAACTATATATGTAAAAAAATCTTATAGAATTTTATTTTTGTTATGATTTTACATCCTGTAAAAGATTATATTTCAACTTCTGTTATAAAGTAGTTTTACTTTTTTTGTTCTGTACTTGTTTCTTATTTGCAAAGATATATATATATATATATATATATATATATATATATATATATATATATATATATATGTGTGTGTGTGTGTGTGTGTAAAAAGTCTTACATTATAGCATTTTTATTTTTATTTCTTCTATATCCTTTCAAAGATTTTGTTTCTAATTCTGTTAGAAAATACTGAAAAATGAATAGGTATGACATAAAAGCCACAATATCTTTATTCTTTGGTATAAACCAATGATAATGATATAGGCCTACCCAAGTTAGGAGCATATGCATAGGCTTTATGAGATTTGTAGGCCATAATCACTTAATTACATAAAGAGGAGTTGGAGGTGCCAAAAATAGAGGAGTCAGAATCAATGGTTTTGTGTTTTTGACTCCACAGCCCTGATTTAAACAGAGCTTCTATAGGAAATAAAGCCACTTGCCAACACAATTACCTACCCATATACACACCATATTAAAACAAACCCAAACTTTATTTTCTACCCAATAACAGAGAATATTTATAAACATGTCAAAAAGATTCCACAATACAACATACACAGTTTAAATCAAAGTGTCTATTGATTAGAAATTAATATCACCACGTGAAATATTTGCCCAATCAGAGAAAAATAAAACCCTATTTTTCTAAAGTCTACTTCTGGGAAAAATTTCTTATAAAAAAGCACAGATTTCAAATTCCAAAGAGCAGAGATGTGGCTGTCTCCAATCAAAACACAAGAGAAGATGTTGTTACATAGCTCCCCCCCCACCCAGTGTATGCTGAAAGAAATACATGTTGGTGACTTTAAACAAATCATCTGCAACAATAGTATAGCCAGCCAGTCAGCAACTTCAAACAATGACAGCTTTTTACAGTAGACAAACTATTTAAAAGTCTTTTCTAAACTACAGATTTTTCAGTGTACCAACTACCCAAAGACTTTAACCGTGACATCAGAATTTTCTACACTACAAGC